TGTCTAATGTGACTGGATATTGATACAGTCAAGCAAGTGGCAGTTTTTCATTGGCACAGTCTTGATAAGGTGAAGTCTGATGACTTTGTATCAAAGGCCTTTTGGGATATTTCTGATTTTGCTGGAAATGTTTAGGCAACCTGTGTGAAATGGTTCATCAGAAGTACGATACATTTAGAAGGGGTTTATGTAGCAAGAAAGAAGAGCGAATGACAGATATATGTTTAGTTTGTCTGGGCAGAAATTTTATCCTGCAGTCCCTGGGACATTCAACCTTCACTCATATAGTTTGTGTGAACAGAGGCCCTCAATTGATATACTATTTTATATTCCCTCGGGTCCATTTGTTATCCACTGTGCAATGGGTATGTTGCTAGAACTGACCCAGCCTAATTATTTAAAATAAAATACTTCCAGGAAAAAAATAGATTAGTTATTCATTAAAAACTGTGACCTGAAGTGCAGGCAGAAACAATCCATCCAAGAGTTTTGAACTCACTCCTCTTGACCTGACATCCTTAAATAATTTGCACACAAAGAGCTATATTAAAATCATGCTAAGCATCTCGTCTGAAACTCACAAAAGCCAGGAAATTTAGAGTTAAAGGTGACCTGCAAAGGTATCGTTCTGAAAACGAGTTAACCCTCCAGTTATCAGCCAAATGCGCTAAAAAGCAAGGGGCAGAGGGGTGGCCAGCACATAAATTCTAAATGTACCTTTGGGTTTTCCTTTTGAGACAACCCCAAAGCTATGCTGGCTCCAGCTCTCGTGTGACATTCCAGAATTATGTCTGCTGGCACAACAACGATACCAGGAAACCCGAGGGACTACGGACCTTCTGACTTCTTGTGTGGCCTTTGGCAAGTCACTTAATCTCTCTGGGCCTTGAACTTACCTACCTTTGCAAAGCATCTAAGACATATAGAACGGCAAAGGATTATAATAATAATTAGTATTTGACTAGTCAGGTAAGGTCATTTATTAATGATATAAAGGTACAATCAGGACAATGGGTATGAATGACAGACGGGTGGATGAGTGTCTTGTGTACCTAAAGCACAGGAGTGCTAGGCTGTATCCCTACCTGTGTGATCTTGGCCAGCTCATTAAGGCTCAGATTTTCTATCCTGTGTCCACTACTTTGGGATATCTCAATTGGTGGGTGTTTGGGACATCTAGGGCCTGCTTTTCTAAAGGGTTGAGCCCCCACAACTCCCATGAAGTAAATGGGAGCTGCAGATGGAAATCACATCCCAGGTGTCGCAGACTGGGCCAAAATCACTGGAAACTTTGGAAATATTTGGCTTTAACCCCTCTGCCTCATGCTTTCCCCACCTGTAAAACCAGGACAATCCATGCGTGAGGCTAAATTCATCCGTGTTTGTGAGGTGCGCAGACAATACGACAATGACCTCCTTAGAAATGCTTCTAGATTGTAGGATAGCTTTGAAAGGGGATCCAGTCAGCCTGGTTTCAGGGAACCTACACAGATAGCTTTAGACTGACTGAGAGGCTGAATCCTGCTCCGCCCCTCGCTATTTGTGGCAGTCAGCACATAACTTGCTAGGGTTAACTCACCAGTTAACAATAAAACCCTTTGCAGGTCATGTTTACAGCAGAACTTCATCCTTATCTCCCACTGTAATGGGCTCTTCCTGCTAGAGGGACTGGGAGGAGGACAGGCAGGCACCATCTATTCCTGTAATTATGGGGGTGCCGGGTGGAGGAGAGGGGAAGAGGCAGGGAGGGAATGGATTGGCAGTTATTGACAGTCCTCGTCTCCTGACACAGATGAGCAGAACCTTGTCCCGGGCGGTTAGCCACGATCCTTTCTGACGCTATTTGCTCTACGTTTGGGGTAAGGCGCTCCCTCCACCCTTCAAGGCCCAGAGCCAAAGTTCACCGGAGCGCTGGGGAGTAGTGAGCAGGTCTGAGCTGGCCTGGCCGTTTAGTCAGGGTTAAATAGCGTGTAAATAAATACAGAAATAATTCACCCTCAGGTTGCAACCACCTCTGAGCCTGGAGGGGATTTTTAATGGCTGAGCTCAAAGAACAATGACACAGCCTGAGCTGAATAAATAGAAATGGGGGGAAATAAAGACTCCGATTGCTCTTGTGCTGGGTGGAGTAAAGTGTAAAAGTCCCAGGCAATAATGTAATACACACTGGTGATTAAAAAACCAAATAGGCCTGATTCTCATTTCCACTGTGCTGGCAGTGCCAAGGAGACGTCAAGGGGAAGTCAATAATATTTACCCCCCTTTTCAGGCTATTTTCCAACATCAAAGCAGTGTAGAGGGGTGTACATATAAATGAGAATCAGGCCCAATGAGCCCTTATTTGTGATAGTGGTAGCAGTTTCAGGGGATGTTGCTGTGGATAAGACTGGAGTTTGCATATAATCTGTTATCCAGATAGTCTCTCACTGGGATAACACACATAGCACACATGTAAAGTGTTTTAGTGATCATTAATGAAGAAGAAGAAGAAGAAGAATAGTGTGCAGTTGTGTCTTATTTCATCTGTGCATCTCAGTGGTACTATTAGCCCCATGTTAGCCCCCACAGAGAGACTTGCCCAAAGTACAAGAGCAAAGCCCGAAATAGAGCCCTGCAAATCTGCAGATATCCGCTTTATATCCACGGATGTAGATCTCCACAGACCATGTTTGCGGATCGGATGGGGATACAAATGTTGTATCCACGCAGGGCTCTAGAAATCGAACCCAAGCCTTCCAACACCCAGGCTTAGGAATGATACAGTGATTGAATCTGGGAGCCCTTCACAAAGCCAGAATAAACAAGACTTGTGATGGAGAGCTATGCAGGGCTTGGAAAGGACAGAACCATCTCCTGTCACACACCAGGCAGCAGGACACTCACACAGTAACTGTGGGCTATAGCAACCAGGTGAGCAAACCTTTGTATTCAGACCCTCCACCCCATGCCATCCTGCCCTCCCTGTTGCTGTGCTGAGGGCTGCTATGAAACAGTGGTGCTGAGTCTGCTTGTGCCATCTCTTAGTCACACTACGTTGCAGAGCAGCGTAGATTGCACAGGTCTGAAAGGTCTTTGATACATCTGCCATGGCTGGACGGATTGCTCCCTATTCGTTATTCTGTACTTTGCTGCTACCGTATTTGTCACTTAAAACTAAAATCAAAATACAATATTTGGGGGAGACAAAAGGATCTCTGTTTTTAGCAAAGGATTTTATTATTATTTAATGATAAAAAATACTTGACACTCACAGTGAGCTAAATTTCCAGAGCATTGAACAGCTATTTAATACTAAAATGTGCAAAGTGCAGCCAGCCCATGTCAGGAGCCTTGAGACACAGATTCTGAGGTCTGTGTTTCTTGGTGCCATCACTTAAAAGCAAAAACAGTGGAGGGAATTGCATTCCTGCTGCAGCTATAGGTGTTGATGATGTTATCAGCCATTCCTGGGGAATTAGAGACCACTCAGCTCAGAGCTTGGGTGGTAAGTGATAAAGGACCTGATCCAAAGCCCAAAGAAGACATTAGAAAGCCTCTCATTGACTTCCACGGAATTTGGACCAGGTACAACATCCAAAGTGAATATTTTGTTTTAATACGTTTATTCCTAGAATCATAAAAGATTAGGGTTGGGAGAGACCTCAGGAGGTCATCTAGTTCAACCCCCTCCTCACAGCAGGACCAACCCCTACTAAATCATCCCAGCCAGGGCTTTGTCAAGTTGGCGCTTAAAAACCTCCAAGGAAGGAGATTCCACCACCTCCCTAGGTAACCCATTCCAGTGCTTCACCACCCTCCTAGTGAAATAGTGTTTCCTAATATACGATCTAAACTTCCCCCACTGCAACTGAGACCAGTACTCCTTATTCTGTCATCTGCCACCACTGAGAACAGCCGAGCGCCATCCTCTTTAGAACCCCCCTTCAGGGAGTTGAAGGCTGATATCAAATCCCCCCTCACTCTTCTTTTCTGCAGACTAAATAACCCCAGTTCCCTCAGCCTCTCCTCGCAAGTCACGTGCCCCAGCCCCCCTAATCATGAAGATCTAACCAGCTGTGTATGATAGCTAAACACAGACAGCACTTTTCTTCTAGCCTGGCTTCATGTAAAGCAATGGTGGATAAATAAAACCACACAAAGGTGCTCCTGAATTATGCTATCGAATTACGCTACTTTCAGTGGTTCAATTCTAAAGTGCGGGAATGGAAGCCCGGCAATTACGTATGATCCTTTATTAACGTGTCAGTTACTTTGCAAGCTTGCCTGGCGCTTTCCTTCTCTTATTAACACATTATTGCATCACAATTAGCTCGCTGGGATTGTGGGTGCCGCGTAGGATGACCAGATGTCCCAATTTTCTAGGAAGAACAGGAGTACTTGTGGCACCTTAGAGACTAACAAATTTGTTAGTCTCTAAGGTGCCACAAGTACTCCTGTTCTTTTTGCGGATACAGACTAACACGGCTGCTACTCTGAAACCTGTCAATTTTATAGGGACAGTCCCGATTTTTGGGTCTTTTTCTTATATGGGCTCCCATTACCCCTCACCCCCTGTCCCGAGTTTTCACACTGGCTGTCTGGTCACCCTAGTGGGCACTAGCTACAGAGGGTCTCCTATGCCCACCCCTTGATGTACGCACCGCCCTGGGCTAACCAGAGCAACACAGGACACGAGGGAGGAAGAGGTGCTGGGGGGGGAAATCTTTGCAACAAGTTGCTGGCACTGGCCCCACTTCTCGCTCGCAGTCGGTGCCTCTAGCACCCCACAAGCCCGCCTCCGGCTGGGGCAGGCGGGTGCACGGGGGCGATGGGACGGGAGCGAGGTTTGAAGCGAGCCCGGGGCAGACACAGACTCTGCCCGCCGCTCCGAGCCGAGCCCGGGGGACGGAGCCGCGCGGAGCCGGGGGAAGCCGGGTGGGTGTGGCCGCTGCCCCGCGCCATTGGCCGCGCGGCCCGTGACGCGCAGGGGACGGGGCGGGGCGCCGGAGCCCGCGGCGGGGCGCTCAGAAGCATGCTGCAGCCCCGGAGCGGCGGCAGCGGCCGGGAGATCGCTCCGGCTGCCGCTGCAGGGAGGGCGCCCCGCCTCGCCTTCATGCCTCCAGCCCGGCGCCGCAGCCGGCTGCCCTGAGCCGCCCCAGCCATGGGAGATGGCTGGCTCGCCCCAGATTGCAACCCCCCCAACCGATCCAGCTCCCCGCCGCCCGTCCCCCCCAGCAGCGCCTCCACCCTGCCCTACCCGCCGGGCAGCAGGGAGCTGCCCTCCCACCAGTGGGCGGTGGGCATGCTGATGGCCCTGATGGTGCTGCTGATCGTGGTGGGCAACGCGCTGGTGATCGCGGCCATCGGGCGCACGCAGCGGCTGCAGACCCTCACCAACCTCTTCATCACCTCGCTGGCCTGCGCCGACCTGGTGATGGGCTCGCTGGTGGTGCCCTTCGGGGCCACGCTGGTGGTACGGGGCCACTGGGTCTGGGGCTCTTTCCTGTGCGAGTGCTGGACCTCGCTGGACGTGCTGTGCGTGACGGCCAGCATCGAGACCCTGTGCGTTATTGCCATCGACCGCTACCTGGCCATCACCTCGCCTTTCCGCTACCAGAGCCTCATGACCAAGGGCCGGGCCAAGGGCATCATCTGCACGGTCTGGGCCATCTCTGCCTTGGTCTCCTTCCTGCCCATCATGATGCATTGGTGGCGGGATGGAGATCCCCAGGCTCTGGAGTGCTACCAGAACCCCAACTGCTGCGACTTTGTCACCAACAGGGCCTATGCCATCGCCTCCTCCATTATCTCTTTCTACATCCCCCTGATCATCATGATCTTCGTGTACATCCGAGTCTACCGGGAGGCCAAGGAGCAGATGAGGAAGATAGACAGGTGCGAGGGCAGGTTTTACTGCAGCCACCCCCAGCCTCCTGCCCCAGCCCAATCCCATCAGCCCATCCTGGGCAATGGCAGAACCAGCAGGAGAAGGACCTCCAGGATCCTGGCCTTGAAGGAGCAAAAAGCCCTCAAGACCTTAGGCATCATCATGGGTGTCTTCACCCTCTGCTGGCTCCCTTTCTTCCTGGTCAACGTGGTCAAGGTCTTCAGCAGGGACCTGGTGCCAGACCAGCTCTTCGTCTTCTTCAACTGGCTGGGCTATGCCAACTCGGCTTTCAACCCCATCATCTATTGCCGCAGCCCCGACTTCCGCAAGGCCTTCAAGAGGCTGCTCTGCTGCCCCAGGAAAGCTGACCGGAGGCTGCACGCCAGCGCTGGGGAGTTCTCCCGGTACCCAGGGAGCTTCATCAATACTTTGGGCACCCCCGAGCGCAGCCTAGGAGGGACATGGTCTGATTGCAATGGGGGCACACAGGGAGGCAGTGACTCCAGCCTGGAGGAGAGGAATAGCAAAATTTCCTATTCGGAATCCAAGGTATAAGGATAGGGGGTGTGTTGGGTTTGGGGGCAGAGGAGTGTGTGCACTGGACACTGAGCATAAAGAAAGACAGGAAGGGAAATGAACAGGAGCAAAAAGGGGAGTAAAAACCACCAGGAGTCGGGTTAATAAACACCAGACCAAACTGATCTCTCGCTGTGGAGAGAATCTGTGTTTACTTAAAATTAAAAGCAGGTGAACTTGTATGCAGCGTACCTCATCTGAAGCTAAAGCAAACGGGAGGCCACTGACCACTGAACAAAGGAAATTAACCAACTGTCTCAAAACCATTTGGATTATTATTATCTTTCTGTGGGGAGTTCGATGTTGGCGGTTAGGGAAAATAATTTGAAAAGGAAATAAGAAAATAGGTTTTTCCGAGAGCTACAGTTGCAGAGGGGCCTGATCCTGAAACATTGAAGTATTGGGATTTTGCCATTGCCATCAGTGTAGGCAGGGTCAAGCTGTTATTAACCTTGCTTCAAAGTTTAGGACTATCGGCTATCCCTGTCCTTACTTCTGGGAGCTGCAGCAGTAGCCCCACACAGAGGAAAAGAGCCTGGTTTTAATAAGTGCTGACTGCCGAAAAATCTCATTGAAGTCCGTGGGAGCTGCAGGTGTTTAGCATTTTTGCAAATCAGGCTAAAAGTCACTTTTGAAAGTGTATTTGTGTTCTGGTGAGTTTTATTTTAAGCTCTTGATAGCTGGGCTCCCCCGTTATCTAAAGTAGACAAGAATAAAAAATAAATAATGTTGAACATTGATATACTTGTATTTTGAACAAACCTCTTCTGCTTTTTTCTTCAGCACCAGCAAACTGGTGACTTTTTGTGCTTATCTTCCCTTGCCAGACAATAGCAATCAGGCTGAGAAACTTCTACCTCAAACTGTGCATATTGTACAGGGGAAATAAAAGAGACTTGTTTATATTAAACAGCTTATTTATGTATCACTATTAGTATTTTCTAAAAAAAAAAAAAACCCACCCCAGTCTTTGAGCCTTCTGCAGTTTGTTCATTGTAATTACAGATGAACAGTAAAAATGAATTCCTTGTATCAAAAAAATTACTGCACATTTAAAAAAAATGACAACGTAGCCATTTTTTGCACAGTGTCAAGAATTGTAAACTGAATTAAAGATGTTACTTGCACAAAAAGTCGAATTACAAATAAAACGGGGATTAAATAACATCAAACCCCAGATCTATTTCTGTTCTTGTCTGCTATGTTACAATTTTACTGAGAGTTACTTTTTAAATATTATTTTATCAAGGTACTGTAAATGTATCGATATTATAAATTAAAGTATCTTAAGGGTCTTTTTATTTTTATTTTTTATGTCCAGGTGCCCACGTGAATCTGCTGTTATTTTAGCACTTGTGTCTCATTTCCATTTTCCTCTTCTGTGTGTGTGTTTTATAGCGTATTTATACTCTGGTGCAATTTACTACTGTGTAAGTAATCGGTCAATGTGCAATAAATGTCGTTGCATCACAAGCAGGTTATGTTCAGTGTTTCTCTATAGGTTCAGAAACGATACCCAGCTAGAATGAAAGAACAGAGTTTGTTTTGCTTGGAAATATGGATCGGGTTAACCATACAGTCCTGTCTAACGGCTTTTCCTGACACAATATTGTAAGAAAGAAAGAAAGAAAACAAAAAAACCCTTCCTAGACCAAATAAAGTTGTGTTCCTGTTACAGTGAGAGCTGCCTACTTCCCTTAAACTAATGGCCAAAACATTAGTGTTTCCAGCCTAATTTTGAAAATATTAGTTTGCTTTAATGATGCCAAATTAGCTGAACTAATCTTTGTTGTTAAGTGTACTGGATTGGGAGTCAGGATACCTACTGTTCAAAAGTACAAAACTATTTCATTCGATTTGGTTTGAAAGCTGAAAATTGTCTGTCTGTTAGAAAGCTTATGCATTGTACGCCATCATGAAGTCAATGATACTCTTAGAATAATTTCACTTCACACGGATGGGGCCTGAACTCTCAAGGACTTTTGCCATTGACTTCAGAGAGAGCAGGGTCAAGTCCCTGTTCTATATGGGCCAGAACCTACTCCCACTGAAGTCTATGGAGGTCTCCACTGAGTTCAGGGTATCTAACTGGAGATCTAATTTGCAGGCTGTAATGATCTGAAACAATTCTGGACTTTTGTTCTACTGCACTGTAAAAAGACTTTCAAGCAAAATTCACTATGAGTTTGACCCTGCACACACTGGAATCAATGGGAGTATTGCCCTTGTCTTTAATGATTGCAGGATCAGACCTGCTCAGTGAATCAGATCTAAAGACTGTTGAAGTGAGTGGAGATCTTTTCTGGTCTCGTCAATGGGCTTTGGATCAGGCCCTATATCACACAAGATAGGTGACTGGTTTAAAAAAAATTAGACTTTCTGTAGCTTAAACAATTATATATTTTGAATAAAGGAAAGCATATGTGGCCCTTATTTTGTGATGGTATGTTACTCTTAGTAGTGGATTCATTTGGGGCCAGATTCTGCTACACTTACTCACATTGAGTAGTGTCCTAGTCACGCTGGTATCGCTGTGAACTTCAGCAGAACTCTGCAAATGAGCACAGTTGTGCCGAGAGGGGAAAAGTGGCAGATTCAGATCTTTAATGTGTGTCTTGAACATAGAACTCTGTCATAGCCCAACATTTTTTACATTGTTTCATAATGGTGCATTTCATTCAGGTAGCTTAATAAATACTCAATTACTAGAAATTGCCGTGGCAAATAGAGGAACCGAAATACAGACTGCTTGATATTGTAAAACACCTCTCTAATGTGATGTGCAGAATTAAAGTGAAGCCGTTTTTAGTGCTATAACTCTCCGAGGTCTACTGAAGTTAGCAATCAGCAACCTGGGAGAATGTTTTTGAAAGTCAGTTCTTCAGGAAACAAGCCAAGCCCTAACGTTTAAAATTTCAGGAACTATCTTTTATACAAAGTGCTTTTAATATTACAAGAAGATCATGCTTTTTTATGCAGGACTAAATTAAAGGGCCTTTAGAAGGAAGTTTTGACATTGATTTCATTGGGGTTAAGACTTGAACTACAGTTAATAATTCCCGCGTAACCAGTGAAATGCCAAAGTGAAGCTAGGTTAGCTGCCAGATGAAACATACATTCTATCATCATGGTCTAAAAACGTGTATTTAAATCCAAGAATTCAATTCTGCCTTCATTTGTACCCCTGCTAGTCCAGAAAAGTCAGTAGAATTGCAAAGATGTAACTGAGGGCAAAGTTTGACTCCAGCTGACTAATATAGGATGTGATGATTTTATACGTGACTATTTGCTACTCCACCGTTGCAGAAAAGATTGAGTCTAATGGACTTAGACCCTGATCCAGCAAAAGCAGTTTAGCACATGCTTAACTTTAAGCATCCAAGTAATCTCACTGAAGTCAATGGGTCTGCTCGTGCACTTAAAGTGAAGCGCATGACGAAGTGCTTTGCCGAACTGGGGGCCTTAGATCAGATTTAGGATCCAAACCTGCGCAACTCGCTCTCCCTGGAAACATACATTGGGCCACACTCATCCTTGATTAATGTAATACCCTCAAAGTCACTGGAGTTTCATGTAGGATGAATGTTGCCATTGACTTCAATGGGACCACTTGTGTGAGTAAAGTGATCAGGATTTGGTCATTGTGTTTTGGACAATCAGAAATGACCTGATAGGTAGGCTATAGGTAGATGCAGCAGTTTTAAAAACAGGAAGGTCTCTAATTGGCTGAAGGTTTAAACAGTCAATAAAGATAATCCATCCCACAACCTGAATGGCTGATACCTGACTCACTTAGTCCAGTGTAAAAAAGGCAGTGACACACTAACCTTAGAGACCGAGCGAGACATATGGGGTGTGCATGTGTGTGAAGAAGGGAAGACTATGGATTGCTGTCTTAGTACAGCCGGTTCTTAGGATTAAAGAAGGAATATGCTCTGAGAAGAGTTACAGCACAGCTGAGATACTCTGGAGGCAATGAGTCAAACATCCATGATGAATATTTCTTTGAAGGAAACCAGACAGGGATTAACAGTAGGAGCTGCAGTAAGAGAGTACAAACATTCGACTCGCAGCCACACACACACTTGCACTGAAAAGTTAAGTAATAGAAGAATAGAGACCCAAAGGGAAGGGAGAAGCAGATAAAACAGAAAATCTACTGTAAGAATACGGACTGCATCCGTTATGGCTCAAATTGTCGGGCCAGGATGTCTAAACAGGCTTCTAAACTTCAGGCACTAAAATAGAAGTGGCCTGTTTGCCAAAGATGTTGAGTGCCTGTAGCCCCCATTGACTTCCTTGGGAGCTCAATACTTTTGAAAATTGAGCTACTTCTCTATAGGTATGTAAATGTAAGTCTAGGAGCCTAACTTTAGGCATATGGGTTTGAAAATTTGGGCCTGAGTGTAGTTGCTCTTTGCAGGTAAAAAGCATAAGGAAACCAGATCCTGCATTTCTTGTGAATCCAACATTGCAGACAAGTTAGGAGAGGAGTTGGATTTTTTAAAAGTAGTCAGGTGCCTAAAGGTAGGCATCTCATGGGATTTCCAAAAGTTCACAGGTGCCACTAATGGGAGTTAGGTGCCTAGCCACTTTTGAAAATTCCACTAGGCACCTATCTACATCTTTAGGCACCTAAATATCTTTAAAAATCTGGCCCAAAGTGTGCACCTGTACATGATCTGTACCTGTACAAACCATTAGTAAGCAACAATTGCAACTGACTAAATCCGATACAGTAAGTGTGGCCTAAAATGCTTAGAATTAGATCTTTGCATCGCCCACAGCATGCAAAGAATTCAACACGATAAGTAGTTTGTTTCTGATAGCATGCACTATTTCTGCTACAAACACCATCTCTTTCATTTGGCATGCAAGTGTATTCAAATATAGAAGACAACTTCCTTATCTTTTTTTTCCAAGCCTTATCTGAAGTTGAAATTTTATTAATAACTTTTAAGCTGTTATTGTGCAAACCTCCCTTGCTCTGCACACTTTCCCAATTTATTATTTCCCATGTGGTGGAATGTACTTACTTCTTCCCCTGTAATATATCAGTGATGGAAACAGTGCAGTCATGAACTAACAGCACAGACATTCTTCAGGCCAAATTCTATCCTCAGCTATGCTCGTGATATGCTACTGGAGTCAGAATTTGGCCTTTATAATCTAATCTTTTATGAGAGCTACTAAGCAGTGGCTCCAGAAAGGTCCATTGTCACCAGCAGTAATTGGCATTTACTAATGAAGCTGGAGCAATTAGTCCCATTAAAAGCATTCAAGGAAAATGTTAACTGTTAAACCATGGTTAGTGCTGTATACCTCAAATAATGGGTGTTTTGTTTGTTGGTCTCTGTTAGGTGACACGATGGAAAATAATTATCCTTTGACTAGCAGCCAGCTTTGTATTATTGAGAAAGGAGAAGACCTGTTCTGTTTGAAGGATTATACCTAAAAATAGTTCTGCTACATCAGCCACATCAGCAACTGGCATGAAGTTAATTCCCATGCACACATATACACACCCTCTATGTTATTTCAGTTTCACTCTTGTCAGTCAAAGTTTTCGGTTTGATTGAAAAAACAGTAATGCAAACTCCTGAAATAAGGTTAAGCACACTGTCCCACAGGATTATTTTTGGTATGCATCACTGATTCGCATTCAGAGGGTGCCAAATTCCAAAATGTCTAAGGAGGAAGTAAGTATTCTTTGTCTTTCTGCAAATAATCATGGATAACGTAAGATCAACAGTAGAATTGCTATGATTGCCTTACACAAGAGATCAAAAAAATTTTTTTTACATAGATGTCCGTCTATCTGTTAGTCTAAACAGAAACAGCCATGATAACAACAGGAGCTTCACTCACATAATTCAATAACCTTAGGCTGCTAAACTGTGTCAGAGAAAGTGACAGAGTAGGGGGAAAAAAGAATAAACAAGATGATATCGGGCGGCAAAGCCGGAGGGGGAACCTCTCAAGAAACAGTAACAGAGGACATGATAACAGGGCTAGATGCTACATTTTCTTTCCAACATAATGCCCGTTATGAAAAAATCCAATAGATTTTAATAGGGATGAATCTGTCAGATGCTCAATAGAAATAAAATAGCCTTCTATAGAAATGACTCTAAAAACCTAGAGGATTTTATCTCTTCTGTATTCTCTAGGCTGGTTAAGCACTTTTCCATAAGGAGATAAACAGTTGGAGCAAACTCCAACACTTCTTAAATGTTCCCCACCTCTAATGCACATTGAAAGAAAAATATCTGAGCCAAATCGTCAGCTAATGTAAATCACTGGAGCTCATTTGACTTCCATGAACTAGAATGACTCGGACAACCCCCTTCTTCAGCCATTAGGCTCTGCGAGTGGCGGCTGTGAGCATACACATTATCTCATTAAGCAAACTGTTTCAACAAAGCCTTTAATTTCCACTGCCTCTGGATATTTACATTGTTCCTCCTAAAAGCAAGAGTGGCTCATGCTTATGAAACCTAAGGGAGTCTTTCCATTGAATTTCATGGGAGTTGGATAATACCTCACACTGGGCCTGACTCTGAAGCCGTTACTCACTTTGCATAGTCCCACTAAAGTAAACGGGCCCAATTCTCCAGTGCCTTTCGCCTTGTGTTGTCATTTATACCTGTGCAATGAGGATGTATAAGTGATGCGGCCAGTGTAACTCAGTGGAGGATTCTGACCAGCTAATGTTTTACACCTGCTTTGCCAGGTATAAATGATTACACGGGTTACAGGGCAGGTGAGAATCAGGTACTTTTGTAAGACTCCTAGGAGTTATAGCTACTTACTGCTAACACAAGCAGCAGAATTGGGCTTGCCTAGAATTGTATCATGTTTGGGTTTGTCATGTAAACTCTCACACATGTTCCTGGTTCATATTATTTAACTGACAATTGAACATACAGACTCACTTTGCAAACCAACATTTGGCTAGCTGGCTCTTTGGCCATATTAAGTTTTACAGATAGATCCAGCCTGCAGAGTCTGACTTGGGATCTGAACATTGGCAGAGCTTTGGGAGGTTCAGATCCAGGGGGTTGGTTTAGGCACATTTCTAATTAGTTTGATACTCATTGTTAATAATTATGTACCTAGAACTGTAGCGAGCGAAGAGGAAAACCCAGCAGGCCAGCTTCATCCTCCGGCCCTGCACCTTATGCCTGCACTGTCTGTGGCAAGGACAGTCACTTAAGAAGTGGACTTTTTAGCCACTCGCAGTGCTGCAGCATGACACCTACAGCCCCCAACTAAAACCTCTCCAGTGCATCATCAAGGATCTACACCCTATCCTGAAGGACGATCCCTCACTCTCACACACCTTGGGAGACAGGCCAATCCTCGCTTACAGACAGCCCCCCAACCTGAAGCAAATACTCACTAGCAACTACACACCACACAACAAAAACACCAACCCAGGAACCAAACCCTGCTACAAACCCTGGTGCCAACTCTGTCCACATATCTATTCAAGGGACACCATCATAGGACCTAACCACATCAGCCACACCATCCAAGGGCTCGTTCACCTGCACATCTACCAATGTGATATATGCCATCATGTGCCAGCAATGCCCCTCTGTCATGTACATTGGCCAAACCGGACAGTCCCTCCGCAAAAGAATAAATGGACACAAATCGGACATCAGGAATCATAACATTCAAAAACCAGTAGGAGAACACTTCAACCTCTCTGGTCACTCAATAACAGACCTAAAAGTGGCAATTCTTCAACAAAAAAACTTCAAAAACAGACTCCAATGTGAAACTGCAGAATTGGAATTAATTTGCAAATGTGATACCATCAGATTAGGCCTGAATAAAGACTGGGAGTGGTTGGGTCATTACAAAACCTAAACTTAATTTCCCCAATACTAATTTCTCCCTACCGTTACTCACACCTTCTTGTCAACTGTCTGTGATGGGCCACTCTCTTACCACTTCAAAAGTTATTTTTCCTCCCTTGATATCCCGCTGGTAATTGATTTATCTCGTTAGACTGACCTCACACTTGGTAAAGCAAGCCCCATCCTTTCATGTATTTATACCTGCTCCTGTACTTTTCACTTCATGCATCCGATGAAGTGGGTTCTAGCCCACAAAAGCTTATGCCCAAATAAATTTGTTAGTCTCTAGGGTGCCACAAGGACTCCTCGTTGTTTTTACTGCTTTGGGTGTTCATCCATCATCTTTCAAGATGGAGGGCTGCCATTCAGTTCTGCTCGAACGGACACAGCATTTTCCAAAACAAGTAAGACAAGAGTCCTATGCTCAAAGAGTTTACAGTCTGACACAGAAAACAGCAACACAATCCTGTCCTCATCATGGCATCTGTGTACCCGAGACATAAGGATGTGGGACAGCCTTTTTTCTTTTCTCTTCATCCACTATGTTGGACCCAACACTACAGTCCTCTCTGGATATGTCTACACAGCAACTATAAACCTGCGGAGGGCCCGTGCTAGCTGGCTCAGGCTAAGGGGCTGTTTAACTGCAGTGTAGACTTCCAGGCTTGGGCTGGAGCCCAGGCTCTAGGACCCTGTCAAGTGGGAAGGTCCCAGAGATCAGGCTACAGGGGCCAGGAAGTCAACACTTCAATGAAACAGCCCCTGAGCCCTGGGCGCCCGAGTCAGCTGGCACGACCCAGCCGCAGGGTTTTCTCTGCAGTGTAGACATACTGACAGAGACAAAATGAGACTTAGGTGCCTAACCTGCTTAGGTACTTTAGGTACTGTAAATCCCCCCCAATCTGCATCTTTAGGCACCTAAATCCCTTTACAAATCTGGCCCTCCAGGGTACATCTGTACTGCAGCTGGGAGTGAGTCTTCCTGCCTGGGTAGACAGCCGCACACTAACGGAGCTCGAGCTAACAAGCTAAAAATAGCAGCATGGAGGTTGTTGCACTGGCTGGCGCTCAGGCTCTCAAGCCTAGGGGGTAAGGTGGCCTTGATGTGGTAGGCATTGTAGGTACATGTAATAAAAAGACAGTCCCTGACCCAGAAAGCTTACAATCGAAACACAGGATGAAAGTAAAAAGTGCCTCCATTAAATGTTAAAGAGTTAAAACAAGTCACTTTCGTGGAGCAGTGAGTGTTAGTTTTATTTCACTTTCAGGCACACTGAAGACTCTAAGATATCCTTCTTTTACAAGGTGGCAGACAGAATATGCTGTGAGAATTCCAGAAAGTCACTGTATAGTGCCAGGAATGTGAACAGGAGTCACCATTTGTAGATGTTAAAGCAATTACTTTTCACTTGCTTTTTTTAAAGTACAGTCTGATAATGCTCCTGCTATGCTAGTTACTCAAGGGGGACAAATGCCACAAAAAATTAAAGGGAAAACAACGAAAACAGCTGACTACAGCAGATTCAGTGTTGTCAATATCACAATGCTTCTTTTAAGAACAAGCCAGTCAAAGAGAACCCCGGTGAGACTTTCTGGCATGGAACCGAGTGTGACACTTTAGATGAAGGTTTCTAAATACACATAATGGACCCAGTTCTGCCCCTCAGTCACATCCCCAAGTTCCTAAAGTCGGTAAGAGTTCGATGTATATTTCTGACAGTAGCTTGGCTCTGCAAATGCCAATCATGCTGAAGGGTAGGGTGGTGTCAGTGCCAGTCTATGGTGACAGTTCTGTCTGTGGAATACATAGCTAGTGCTCAAAGAGGTACCCCCTACACTTCCTTTTTGGGGTGTTTAATGCACTCTTTTCTGCCCCCACATACCAGCTTCATTCCATCAGCTGGTAAAGAATGCAGCCTGGGCCCACGTCCTCAAGCTATCTAGGCACCTAACAGCCATTGAAATTAATGTAAAGTTAAGAGCCCAATTACCTTTGAGCCTCTGGACCCAAGTTCCCATTCTATGCCCCCTTGGACTGGCTGACACTAATGCTGGTAGCACTAATACTCCCAAGGTTTTGCATTCAGGTCTCTCTACCTCACTTCTAATTACCCATCTGTGCAGAGCCATTTCAGCTCACCCACAGTTGGTAACGAACCAAACTGTCATTTAATTTATTGTTTGGCATATAGCTGAGGTTTAACGATTATTGTTTGTAATACTTGGGCAATCATTATATAATTGTTAATCCTCGTAAACGCATTTTAAGTAATTATAAGAGCTGTTGTGTAACAATCAGCATCTGTCCTGTTATTCTAAACTCTAGGTATGGATTGTCCAACAGTTTGTGAAATCAGCTACAAAAGCGTGTGTCCTGGGCCAGATCCTGCTCCCAGCGAAGTCTGTAGCAGATACTATCTCTGTGGCAGGCTGAGCCCCACACAGCAGAGGTCAACCACTGTCCTGGAAGACAAGTAACAAACCATCTCCCTATCAGGAGTTGTAGAGCTGGCTGGTGGAGGCGAGCTCCAGCGCTCTGCTACCCTCAGTCATCCTTCCCATATTGCACAGCTCTGCTGAGATTACTCCAGTCTGCCTGGAACCTGGTGGGAGTATGGGGTGTTGCTGGTGTTAGATGTTCTAGGAAGGGGCTTGCTTCTCTGCTTCACCCTTGCCTTGCTATGTGGTAGATAGGAAGCCTGCCACACCAACTGCACTTGGGCTGGGAGCCTCCATCATCAGAGGATCTTTGGAAGAATAGAGGGGCAAACTCCATGGCCCTGGGTAGCCTGGCTTTCATACATAGATGGGACAATCCCAGGAAGGCAATTGCTTTGGCCCTTTTAGTCTTTTCCTATTTTTCTCTAGCTGATGAACACTGAATCATCCTTTGATGAAGAATTTGTCCTTGTGAAAGAGCGATTAAAATAGGCAGAATCATAGGACGATCCATAGCAGCTGAGGACAATTGGGCGTCAAAGGTATCTGGCAAGCCATGCCCATAGTGTAGGATTAATAAAACCACAATTGTGTGGTATAAAAAGAAGTACTTCCTTCTTGCCGTGGTGCAGGTAACTTTGGAGAAGTCCCACAAAGCTTCCATTGTCTAACACTTGCGTAGACCCAAGGGTTTGGTTTGGTTTGGACTTTCCCTAAGTATCCACTTGTGAAGCTTGATTTAAAATGTTAGTGAGATCATGTTGTTGTTGAGCGAGACAAAATTAGTTTAAAGACAAGTGCTTTAAATGGCAGCTATGTGTAACACAAAGCAGTGTGAACTAGATGCTAAGGCCCTGGACCGGGCGCCAGGAGACCTGTATTCCCTTCCTTGCTACGTCAGGGACCTGCTTTGTGATCTTGGACAAGCACTTCATCTCTTTGGTTTCCTTTCATTGCCATGTCTATTTACATTGTCTTTCTATTTTCTATTTAGCCAGGCCATGGGAGAGCAGGGGTCAAGTCCCAGCTTTACCATAGACTTCCAGTGTGACCTCAGGCAAATCACTTAGGGTATATCCACACAGCACAGTTAACTCAGGCTCTTACCAGTCTTTACATCTCCTACCATCAACATATAAAAACCTCTCACCTGACCTGGGTTTGGAGGTCCTTTAGCTGGGGATTTAGGTTAGAGCATAGGCTCTGATTTAATTTGGGCTGGAACCCATCCCCTCTGCAGTGAGAATGCAGGCTAAATCACACAAGTACTGATAGTCCTCCAGTGCCCTTCCCACAGAAGGACAGACAAGTTCTCCCACAATTGACACAAGTGATGGGGAAAGAATGCTAGAGGGTCTCATCACAGAGAACCAGGGGATATGCTCCCAGATACACACCGGCGAGCGCAGAAACAGTGAGGGCACAATAATGTGGGTAGGGCTTTGCTGTGAGGAAGCTCACAGGTGGATTAGGTTAACCTCCTGGATGCTCAGACCCAGGGACCAATCTCCTGGGTTAACTGTGCAGTATAGACACAGTCTCTGCCTCTCCATGCCTCAGTTCCCCATCTGTAAAATGGGGATAATGGCACTGCTCTACCTCACAGAGGCATGGTGAGGATAAATACGTTAAAGAGAGTGAGGTGCTCAGATATTATGGTAATTGCGGCAATAGAATGACCTAAAATAGATCCAGGGCAGGCTTTTGGAACAGGCACTGTCTCTCTCTCTGGCTACACTTTGAGCTGGAGGGATAATTACCAGCTTGAGGAGACAGACCTGCACTAGTTCTGATCTAACTAGGA